CTATTTTAGCATGCCCTTGCCACGAAACAGGCCGAGGTCGGAACTTGGAGACGTCAGCATGCCAGATACTGGGATGTTGCTAAGTTTGGGGGTTTGGGGCTTTGGGGCTTTTGGGTTTGGGGTGTAGGGTTTGGGGTTTAGGCATTTAGGGTTTAGGGTTTGGGGTTTAAGGCTTTTGGGTTTAGGGTTTAGGGTTTGGGGTTTTGGTTTGGAGTTGGGTGGACCCCCCACGCAGTAGTAGTGCCTTTATAGGGAATGATGGTGATGCTTTTTGGGACTATGGGGTGGAGGGTCCATTTAAGGTCTAGGATTCTCAGTCATCCTGGTTTCTGTGATTGCTGCTGTTGCTGGTATTGTGGCAACTACTCTTAATATCCTCACCGTCATGATTAGCAGCAATATGATTCATACTTAGACTAGGCTTCCACCAACTAGAGGTGATCACACGGATTAATGGTAATACAACTTACCCTCATTTCATGCTGTTAATATACCACTACTACTGTGTGTGTGGGCCCAACCTACATGATTACTCTTCGATTGCTGATGCCTCTTCAAAATCGGGTCGAATTTCAAGCCTACACAAGAATTGTAGTCTAAACTCCTATAGTATCCCCCTAATAACCCTATCCTACTCCACTACCCTAAACCCTAAACCCTAAACCGCGTTTATAAACCCCTATATAACCCCTTTTTAAGGAGTTCAGACTATAGCTCATAGGAAACCCAGCAGACATCCCGCAAAGGCTCCACGACCGGCTGCGGAACTGTTCTTTGGCTTTTTGAAGTCTAGGGTTTAGGGCTTAGGGTTTAGGGTTTAGGGTTTAGGATTTAGGGTTTAGGGTTTAGGATTTAGGGTTTCGGGTTTAGGGTTCAGGGTTGGGCAGGAAACACCGAAGCTAGAGCTCTCGGGGGAAAACTGCGAAAGCGTGACGCAACACCACCTAAACCCTAAACCCTAAACACAAAAACCACTAAACCCTAAACCGCAATCGAGGATCAGTAGCTGCGTCTCAGAGCCCTTTGCGAAGACCATGGCGGTCCAGAGTTAGGCTCATTCCTGCCTTGCCCCTTGCCTGAAACCCTCCCTCCCCAAAGGGTTTAGGGTCAAGTTGAATAGGGGAACATAAGCACGTCTATCATCTAGAAATACAGGGTACGTAGGCCTGCTTTACAGCCAGAAACCCACGGCCGGGCCAACTCCCATAGCTGACCGGGGCTCTCCACCTCAAGCCCTGTGGCGTCGGTCTCCAAGCAGGGTTTACGGTTTAGGGGTTCGGTCAGGGTTTAGGGGTGTAAGGTTTAAAGATCAGGGTTAGGGCGAATCCTTATAGATTGTCAACATCGGGTCTTGACAGGACTGCCGGACTAACATCTGGAGCCCTAAGCACCACATTGCCGAACCCTTAGAAGGGATTGAGCTGCTCGACTTGTATAATCATTCACAGCTTCAGCAGCTTTCTACGAAGCATATATAGGGATCCTGAGGATTTCCTGCTTCAATTATCCGAAGCTTGATGTGTACCTTTGAGGCCTCAGTAATTTGTTCATGAATGCCAGTGATATCTTGGTCAAATCAGCTTGCAAAGAACAAATACTACCCTACTCTGTGCTGTTACAACGCTGTGGGCATTTTGTTGAGGGGTTCAGAGATGCGGGGGTGGTGACTACGAGGCAGTCCCCGTCGTGATTGCGGCAAGACATCTCCACAGATATTTGCTCCCCCAACCTCTTACAGAACCTGCGCGTAACCTCCTTTTAAAAGGACTGTCTTTGTCGGACGCTTTTGATGTTTTCATGTCGGTTATCAGGGCAAGGGTATGCCTCAAGCACGATAATTTCGACCCTAAGAAAGCTCATGGCCTGGGGTTTAGGGTTTAGGGTAGGCCGCAAAACTGGGACCCAATTACATCCAAATGACCATTCAAACAACATAAGAAGACCCTTAACTAATGCAAAGCCCAGGTGCTGCCTGTCCCGTATACGCCCCTAACCCCCGCGAATCCAAACCAAAAAAAAAACCCTGAACCCTCAACCCAAAGCCATAAACCCCCAACCCTAAACGTAGCTTTCCGCAATCCACAAGCTGTCTGTGGCGTGTGGCAAGTGCTTGCCTGGACCTTAGACCCAACGCCCTGAACCCAAAGCCCCAAATTCCTAAACCTCCAATCCTACGCCCAAAGCCCTAAAAACCCCAACCCTAAACCCCAAGCCTTAAATCCTAAACCCGAAACCCCAGCAAGCTGCTCCAGCACCCTTTTTTTCCGGCTACGGGCTTGCAGAAACCGCCGCTCCAAGACGTCCAGGCTCTCGAGGAGCTTGGGCACCTAAACAGGACCCTCCTAACACCCTAATTAATTAGGGATATATAAGGGTACATAGGGGAATGGAAAAGAAGAGGAAACTACTACATTATTGATGGTTTGGCGTTTAGTACCCTAAACTACTGGTTAAAGGAGTTTCTGGTTTGAGGATCTGGCGGGTTCAGGGTTTCTAGGGTTCGGGGAAAACATCCTAAAGCGTAGGGGGCTTTTGCTGTAACTTCATTAAGCCCTGCTGAGCAGGCTCCATAACAAACATTTCAGGGCGGATATGTCGGATATGTGGGGCTTCGTACAAATTCGGCCCGCCCATGCACCTGACACACCTTTGCCTCTAGAACTTTGAGGAGTTCTCACGAACAGTGGTTTCTTTCTAGGATGCGGTCCGAGAAGCAGTTACTCTTGGGAAGCGCCCCTATCATGGTTCCACGGAAACCTTCTGTGGTATGGAAGAGCGATCCCTAAAACCAAAACTCTGATACCTTGTGGCTTTGTTGGGTGAATACACTGTGACTCCGCATGTGGTAAATGCCTACACTTACTTGTATGGCGAGTCATAGGATTATGAAAAACCCTAAACCATAAACCCCAAACCCCTAGCCCTTAACCCTAAACTGCTGAACCCCTCACCCTAAAACCCTTAACCTCTTTTGCTTATTCAACTTGAACCTTAATGGAATTACTGGGCATTGGCCCACCTGCGCACCGGGCATTGGCCCGCTTCCTCCTTACTGGGCATTGGCTCGCCGTTGGCCCACCTTCTTACTGCATTAGCCCACCTCCTTGCTGCACGGTTCTGGCTCGAGGGTTCAGGCTCGAGGGTTTTGCCTTCGGGTTCGGTTTGGGGTTCTGGGTGTGGGGTTAGGCTGTAGGGCTCGGGCTCTAGGGTTCTGCCCTACGGTTCGATCTACGGTTCTGGCTCTAGGGTTCGGCTCGTGGGTTCGGTCTAGGGTTCTGGCTCTGGGATTTGGGCTCTAGGGTTCTGGCTCCAGGGTTTGGGCTCTGGGGTTCGGGCTTTGGGAAACCCGTTATGTGGCCTTCCAGGAGGGCCAGAGGTCAGAGATCAGCTTCGCACGTTCATCAAGTTGGGACCCAAACAGAAGTTTTCAGGGTTTTAAGGTTTATATTTAGGGTTTAGGGATTTAAGGTTTAGGGTTGATGCTTTGGGTGTTCTAGGGTTTAAGGTTTAGGGTTTGCCAATGTTCCGTGCACAGCGGGGCGTGCTGTGTGAGGCCTCTCATTGTTTTGCAGCTCCTCGAATCCGAAAATGCTGAGAGGCCGCAATCTTTTTGATTTTGGGGCAATTCTCCCAAGACCTCCAAAAGATGGAGTCGTTGGGGCTCCCAACGTTTTTCCAAAAATCACAAAAATGTTGGAGGACTCTGGAGCTCCATAACCTCGAGAGGCCTCAGTCTTTTTGGGGTTAAAGATTCAAAGAGAGTTTTGCAGCTATGTTGAGGGGCCTCATTCTTTTTGATTTCGGGGCAATGCTCCCAAGACCTCCAAAAAAAGTCGTTTGAGCCGTTTAGGGCCTCCCAACGTTGTTGCGAAAAGATCACAAAACGATTGAAACCTCTCAGCATTTTGGGACTCTGGGAGCTCCACAACCTCGAGAGGCCTCAATCTTTTTGGGGTTCAAGGCTCAAAAAAATTGAGGCCTCTCAGTGTCTTACAACTCGTCAGATCCTTAAAATCGAACTCGAAATTACAACGAAATCTTTTTTTGAATGTGGTTTTCTTTCTTAATTCCTATTAGAATCTAGGTAAAGTCAAAGGGATATCTTGGAATCGTGGAATTTTGGTTTTTGAGGTGGTGTTCGTTTATCATTTCCTTTAGAAACCGAACAAGAAATGAAAGAGGATTTTTTTTTTGAGCCGGTTTTTTCGTTACAGCCTAGCTTCAATGCAAAAGAAATCTCGGAATCCCGGAGTTCCGGTTTTGGAGCTGGCTTTCCTTCATAAGCTACTTTCCAAGTGCTACTTAGAATTTAAAGGAAAAACTAGGAATTCTGAAATTGTGGTTTGGATATGTTTTCCTTTCTGTGAAAGCCTTTTAAAATTGAATTATGATTTAGAGGAAAATCTTGCAATCCTGGAACATACGGTGGCTAACTAATGAAAGTGAAGGAAAATTTTGGAATGTTGAAATTCTGATTTTGGATATGGGTTTTCGTTATATCAATGCCTGTTAAAATCGAATTCGAAATTGCAGCTAAATCTTTTTTGAAGGGTCCTTTACATGAATGCTATTTGGTGGTGTCTCAGTGGGGATTGAAGGTTAGTTAGTTGCAGGGAAATTTCTGACTACCAGCAAGGAAATTTTAGCTGCACTTTGCTTGCTGAGATCTCAACACTCTCCGGCTGCAGCGAGCGCTCGCAGTCGTCTAAGACCTTGTACAGCGTAGGTTGCTGGTTATAAAGCTGTTTGTAAAAAAAATCGGGCTTACTGCGCAGACTTCGGATGTGAGGTTTATGGCATGGTGTTTATGGATCCTAGTCGGGTTGGCTACACCTTCCATGTATAAAGCTTACAGAGGCGTAACTAGCAGTAGGGGCAAGACAATGACACGCCAGACCCTAAACCCTAACCCTGAACCCTAAACCCTAAAACCTCAAAATCCTAAAGACCCTGAACCCTAAGCACTCAAGCTTTAACGTACCAGTCTCTGGGGCTGCGACGGGTTCGTAGGCTGCTGCAGCAGAAGCGTCGTCGTATCCACCTCCAAGCAGTGTGGTTTGGGGTTTAGGGGTTTAGGGTTTAGGTTTTTCTTGTATCCCCAACGTGTAGAGATCCGCCTGTATTTCATAAATAGGTAAGAGCCACAAAGCTACACAGTAGTTTCCCTAAATCGGGAGACCCCAATGTAGACCCCCAAATACTGTAGTCCGTATTATAGGGACCCAAGAAGGTATCCCTATCTTGGGGAAACTCTAATCCCTACATACTCTCAGTTTCAATTCCATGTTCAATCTTATTTACCATGTGATTCTTCTTTATTGCTGTAAAGTAGTACCCGCCCCTAAACCCTAAACTCCTGTATCCTAAGCCCTACACCCTTAACCCTGTACGCGTTTCCAGGCGGCTTTTCAGCCTGGGTGTGGATGAAGAAAGGCTCAAGTGTCGCTCTGCGGGGCCCTATAGTCCCTAAACCCTAAACCCTACTGTAGAGTGTACAGGGGTTTAGGGTATACGGTTTCCGGCCTAGCGTTTGAGACTGCTTTGGGTGTTGTACTTTGAGAAAGAGGTCTTGAGCAAGGCTCTGACCTCAATCTCTCACATTCTGTCAATGCCCAGCAGAAGTTTCAGGCACAACAGCGCTCACGAGCTGTTGGCTTCAGGAAGTGGATTAGTAGTTGACTTCTTCGAGCACATGCTCCATGGGAAGGGAACCCGTATATGAGCTATAGTCTAAACTCCTAGTATCCCCCTTAATAACCCCCATGTAGTCCCCTATATAATCCCCTATATAACCCCCTTTAAGGAGTTTAGACTATGGCTCATTTGTCCTGCAATGCTTCTCGTATCCTGTGACATGTGAGAGCAAACATTTGCGAATGAAAGAAA